GTGAGCTGTGAAGCATAAGAGATGAATCGCGTACGTCGGATCGAGCCGTGGTGTTCAGTGGTAAGGTTCGGCGTTCGACGACTCGATTCGACGTATGCGATTCCTCGCTTATGCTTCACAGCTCACCACCAAGCCTCCACCCTACTGCACCATTACAAACTTTACCTGCTCATAAGTTGCTTGTGAAATGCAGGTTGCAGTTTGCTATCTATATTTGTGAATAACCTTACTAACTCTACCGATCTACCCAGATCTCCAGTCAAGATTCCACGGTAATTTGGCGGACTTCCCTCCGCAGCGCTTAGGTTTGTTCTTGCGCTAGTCACTTTCTCATCAATCGTTGAACGCACAAAGCTATTGGAAAACGGTCTGCAAGAACCCATTTTCTTTCGCCGACACGCTCTCTCTCTTTTTGAGGGTAAGTCTGCGTCTGTGCTCGTAGCATTTTTCGCAGCTTGTGTAAGGGTCATTAGTTTTGTAATTTTTGTGAACTGTTCTGTACAGAATGAGTATTTGTCTTTGCCTCTGAGCATAGGGCTTTTTGTCTCATGTGCAACTCATTCCAGGTGAGGAGGAGGGCGGATCTAGCAAGAAAAAGAAAAAGTCCAAAAAGTCCAAAAAGGGCAAGAAGGGCAAGGTGGGTTCTATGCGCAGGTATATCGTTATCCGACTCAAATCCCATTTGCTACTCCGACTAGACAATGTGAACAACCGATTTATCCCACTGGGAAGATGTTTCTTTCCGCTTCAAGAACGGTATCATTATCATACCTCATCACTTATCCGCGGCACTGGTTCGGTCTGCCTGCTTGAATGCATCGCCCCTATCGGTATCACTGCGGAAAGCTAAGGGGAGCATAAGAGGGCCTGCCGAATAGAGCAAATGGTAGTCGCCTGTCGCGAGACCGCCGCGACTCATTGCGAGGATATAAACTAGCTGCTCTGCCAGTCGATCGGAGAGGATTCCCCCTCCTGCTCCCTACTGGACGGAAGTTTCTAGGACGGAACTGTATAAAAAATGTAGGAATCGGTGGGAATTGGGAAGGGTTTGGCAAGATGGCGAACAAGATGGGAAAGGAGGGTCGTAACAGGGGAGGAAATTCTAAGTAGGGCGTCGTACTGACACCGCCATTTCACCCATGCTTCGGCTGCTCCCTGATTGGTGAGTAGGTTTATCAGCATATTAGCATTTAGTAGCCTTCTGCCATGATCCTGTCATAACGTTACCACTGCAGTATACCAGAATACCTAGTTGGTGCCCTCAAAAAAACGAAAGAAGGCAGAAAGAAAGAGAGGCAAGAAAGATCCGCATTTTGAACAATGCCTGTTATCAGGTAGAACACGCTTGCTTCCTCCACTCATATCTGAAGTACTTTCAATCGCCCATATTGTACTGTTTTTGGTACCCTCCGATGCACCTTACAGCACACTGACCCATCAGCCCTCCCCCTGAGATATTGTGGAAATTCGTGCGAGCCATAGAGAGAGACGGACCTCAACAACGTCCTTGGTTACGGTAACACTGATTCACCAAACTGTGATAGCTTTCTAATCTCACAGACGCTCCATAAGTTTCTAGAGATGAACCGGTGCTAGGCAGAGTAGCGACATAGTACTTGAAACATTGCATAGTCTTGTTGCAGATGTTGGGGCACATGGCACTTGACACATTGCACAGTTTTGTTCGCAGCAGGTGTTGGGGCGTGTCACGGAATTTGGGTTTGGCGCGGCGCCAGCCTGTTTTTCACAAATTCTCGTCGCTATACACCTAAGAGGCGGAGGTGGTGTAGTGACAAGTGGCGCGCTTACCACTCGCGCGGCGCCGGGTTCGAATCCCGGGTCGACCCGCCCAGGCCAACCAAGCCTTCTACCCTCCGGGGACGGTAAATTGGTACCAGATTCGTCTGGGAGGATAAAACACTGACTTGTACATCGGCTGGCCACCGCAAGTCATTGTATAGGCCACATCGCATTCAATAAGCCACGATTCTGAATGGAAGTAGAATGCGTGCCGCATCCCACAAAGGGATTGATCAACGGCGAAGACTTTATCCTTTTATCCTTTATACACCTAAGAACCTACTATTCCTTGGTAAACAAGTTTGAGCTTGCTGGCACGGAGCTCATTACTGTCGGGCTTAATAGAGGTTACATTTGGGGAAAGTGGTTACATTTCAAATGTTCTCGTGTGAGTCTGAAAGCTTTACCAGACACTGACTTTACAGAAGGCTTCGGAACGTGAATCTGATGAAGCACCAGGAGCAGCATCGCCGGCCGCACCGCCTGCTCCAAAACCACCAGCTGTTGGAGGGATCGCAGGTAATACCAGCACGAAATACACTTTTTACTTGGAGGTTTAATCCACTTCAAAACTAACAGCTTGTTGAAGCTTTTTGATTTCACCACACCGTCTACCCTGCACTTTAGGGACACATGATCCGAACTATCAAACGCTGGCCGGTGTCGGTGGTGATATCTTTGGAGCGGATAAGAAAGGAGGTGGTGATGCACCAAACCTGCCGCTCCTGCTGTAGGCGGCATCGCCGGTATGACGTTCATACTCACAGTGAAAACTCTTAGCTTGGACATTTAGCCATGATCCCTGTAAGCGATAGGTTTTGTGAAGCGGCTTGAGTTACAGTGCAGCCAGCATAGCCTTTTCCGCCAATATCGCTGCGGACTCAGGATGGCATTAGTGGTGCAGAAGTCAGCCTCGTCAGCGCTCCACGCTCGTCACGCCCTATCGTTTGCAGGGATCACGACTGTGTGTGCTTTCTAGCAGCTCACTCTTCGTCTGAAGACGCAAGCATAAGCACTCCATAAATCGGAGGCAGGGTGCCAGAGGAAACGCAGTGCTTATGGAACGATCATCTGAGCTCATTCCAATCAGTATGACGAGGCAATTTCTCACTGGGGAATACAGGTCCGAACACCTACACCTTTGGGATACGATGAACCGATGCCGCGCTGGATCCCAGGGCTCTTGGTGTTGTCCAAAGAGCTAGACGACTAGTGCCTTCCAGTTACTGAAGTCATAGCCCCCAGGTGCCTGCGCGCTAGGGAACCAGACATAG